AAATCTATCAACTAAGGAAAATATAAGCCTCTCTAACCCCAAGGTCACACTATCCCAAAAACAACCATTGAAGTACTAGGCTTTGCCTCCATCAAACTTCTATTCTTGTACTTGGTATAATCCTACTAGTGGCAATCAACCCAAACACATACAACAACCACTACTACAAAAATACTATTCTACATCACCATTTCTACATCGGTTAACCCAGAAACGATGTAAAAAGAAGGCACGGTGGCATTATTGTAATTAAGTGTATAATATTAAGCATATTTACATCGGTTTTAAGTGGGACCGATGTAAATATTAAATATTCTACATCGGGTTTAAGACGAACCGATGTAATACTAAAATCACGGTGGCATTTTTGTGAATAAGCCTCAAATATAAAGAGATCTACATCGGTTTACATAGTGACCGATGTAATATTGAGAACTCTTTCCTACTCCCGCGCGTGCCCATGACCATGAGTAGTCATTCTCCCTGAAGCCCTTGCCAGCTGCTGAAGATTGAGAAGGTTTCCCCGTGAGCACGCATGAGCCCTTGCCCCCCGTTGCACCGCCGTCGCCCCGCCCTTGCCGCGCCTTGGCAATAACCCTCTGTAAGCATCATCGATTCATTCAAAGAATTAAAATGTTTTGTATGAACAGGGGAAATTGTTTGCCCCCTGCGACGAACCAGACGGTGGCGCCGAAGCTGCAGGTGTGGGCGCGGGGACGTCAAAACTTGGCTCCTTGCCACGAGCCCCGGCAGAGGCAGAAGCCCGCTATGGAGATTTAGGTGCTTTGTGGCAACCTTTCGCACTACAATATACCTCACAGATCTCAAGAAATACAAAAGGAGGGAGAGAGAATATAGAGATGCGACACAAATCTCAAGAAATATAATAAAAGGGAGAGAAATAGAGAATTTTCGTGCTCAAAGGAGTCTTATTTGAAATTTCTTTGGACGCCCTGAGAATTGTGCCCGAGGCTTCAATTTATAGGAATCAGTAGGGGCCAGAACGGTTTGTTCCGGATTCAGAACGGCCCATTCTGGCCCAACAATTATGTGTAAATTTCGTACCCTAGAACGGCCCGTTCTGAAAACAGAACGGCCCGTTCTAGAGTAGAAAGTAACACAAATTTTCCTTTTCCAGAACAGCCCGTTCTAGATTTGCCTTGTTTGGAACGGCCCGTTCTGGTATTGGAACGGCCCTTTCCACCCAAAATGTTTAGCTGATTTTAGTTACGTTGGAACGACCCGTTCTTATATTGGAACGGCCCGTTCTGGGGTTCAGAATGGCCCGTTCCGATTTTGGAACGGCCCGTTCCGGGCTACTGAAACCACCTTATTTGGCCTTTAGGCCTTCTGATGTCTTGTCTTGTTGTTTTCCTACTTTAGAAGCCCCTACCCTTCGTAATGGAGGTCCATTTCTTTGTTTGTGTGCCCCCCGGACGAAATTGGGTGTCTACATGTACCACTTGAGATCTTGTTCTTGCATCAACTTGCTTTAGCTCAACCTTGATTCTTCTTCAATGCTTTATAATCACTTTGGCATCATCAAAATATTTGTGCATATTTTCTTCCACACATGTTAACATCTCGAATATCGATAAACTAGATTTAACTATTAGCACCAAACTTCCTAGATTTTGTTCATTTAGACTATGTTATTTAGGAGTCATTTTCATTTATTCTATAGCATTAACAAAATGTGTAGATATTCTTTACCCCACTCTTATGCGTTCTGGGTGATTTGATCGTAAAATTGAGTTTCTGCACCCAATTGAAGAAGGGCTCGGATCGTACGTGTTTAGTGTCTTCAAAATCTACCTGCTAACATATTTTTGGAACAAAACATTTACTGACTACTCTCACTTTGATATTCTAGATCCATTCATGGAAAGATGAATGTTCACCCTGATGTTAACTTTGAAGAATTTGCTCATTCTACACATGATTTCAATGGAACACAACTGAAGGCTGTATGTGTTGAGGTTGACATGTTGGCTCTGCATCGTGATGCAATCAAGGTTTGTTTTCTTCGGTTATACAACAACTTAAATAACTTTAAATAATTTTTTTTAAAAGAAAATGAGCACCATAATTGACAGAGGGCATTAATGGGTTTGAAGAACTTGATCGTTCTACAGATGATTTCAATGGAGCACAACTGAAGGTTGTATGTGTTGAGGCTTGCATATTGTCTGTGGGTCGGGATGCAACCGTGCTAATGATAGAGTAGTAGACAAAATACTGGAAATTATTTAAAATTTATTAAAAATAATAAGTCTTTATGAAATGTGGAAGCCATTGAGATTTCTGATTTTCAATAAATTTTAATTTATAATTGTGTTAGACTAAAAAATAATTTCAGATTGTTTGAAATTTATTGAAAATAATAAATTTTAGTGAGATGCGGGAATCATTGAAATTTGTGATTTTTAATAAATTTCAACTATTAATTAAGTGTTAGGTAAAAATATTGAAAATTACTTGAAATTTATTAAAAATAATAAATTTTGATGAGATGTAAGAGTTACGAGATTAGGTAATTAATTAGTGGAAAGAACAACAAAGACAGAAAGTCTCATCAACTAATAATGTTTTGAATTTAAAAGAATTAAAAAAATAAATAAAAAAACTACTAACAGTTTCTCTTAAGGCAGAAGGATTGCTTATCCCTAGAGCAGTATGGAAATGCTCATTTGAAACTGCCATAGAATTCAGTACTTCAGCATCAATAGTCTCATCTTCCAAATCAATGACATCCATCTTCTCCCTGATGTATTGCAGAGCAGCTTCAGTGCAAAGGGCAGCAAGGTCAGCACCGAGTATCTTTTGCAATTCTCTCTAAATCAACCTACAATAAGAGAACCAATTCGGTTGAATAACAGAAAATTCAAGGTTGTTAGAGAATAAATTAAAACCATACACGAAGCTACAATGCATATACACCAAACTGACTGGGTATTATTCACACAATTTATAATTTGAACTCATAAAAATTACCAGTATGCATAACAAAGTTAGACACAAAAAATCACAGAATCCACTAAGAGAAATGAAAAGTAAGCAATGCTTAACTTACATCATCAGAAAGCTTCATGTTTTTGGTATTTATGCGAAGGACTTCAAGTCTCCCAACTTCATCAGGAACACCAATATCAATTTCCCTATTAGTTTAAACTTAAGACTATATATTACACTAATTTAACCATTAGTAATATATCAATATTAACATTATTATAGTTCCGCTAAAAAAAACATTATTATAGTTAAACTATAGAATAAAAAGTATACACTTAAATAACATAATATTTAATATTTTACATATATATTTAAATAATTAGTAAAATTATACATATACTATCATATTTTATATAAAATATTATTTATTAAATAAAAGATATTAATATATAATTATTAAAAAATATACTTTTTAAATAATATTCCATCAAAATAGGTTGAGAGGACCAAAACATAATCCAAACTCGTCTTCAATATATATTGTCTAAATATAAAACTTAAACCAGTAGGTAATAAATATGCCTTATGTAATTATTGAGTCTATCCTCCTATGCTTTTTTCATATTATTTTTTAAAAAATATCTCTTTCCAAATTGTATTTTACCGGTAATCAAATGTGCCAAAATTTAATTTATGGTATGTGTTAGTGTTAATTAATTTATATTCAAAATAATATTTTAACAAAACTATTTTTAAGAATTTTTTTGATCTTATGTATCTTTGAATTTATCTTTTTATTTTATTTATAAATTGAATGATAATCTACTTAAAAATATATTAATAATTAAAATAATCTTATATCACTATAAATTGCTCATTATAAATTACAGCAACAAAATTTGTATGTTCGGACATGTATTCATTACAAATTAATATAGTTGGATTAGGCATCGTCTCTTCTCCTAAATCTTATTCAACAAAATAATAATACAACGCTGAATTCTGGATATATATATATATATATATATATATTATATATATGTATATAATATTGGATATTTTTTAAGCTTTACTGATATTTAATTTTAAAAAATATTTGAAAAATAAATTAAAATACAATTCAACACCTTATGGTTTTTTTATTATATTTTTACAAATATGAATTATAAAAAATAAAAATAATAATAAAAAACAACAGTTGAATTGAATTAAAGCATGGGATACGAAAGATACAGTTAACCTTACAATATATATTATGAAACATCCATGCTCTTTGACAACCAGTACTACACACCAACAAGGTACTTCAATTTGGTTGCACTTTATTTTTGCATATGTATATAGATTTCCCTCCATAGAATATGGCTGTATATTTATCACCTAAAAAGGATTGTTGAAATGTTTTGCCGTAACCCACCTCAAAATTTCATGTCTATGATGTAGTCCTCAAATATTAATGATGTCTTTTTTTATTGTTTGGGTGACAATAACATCCATTTAATAATAAATTTCTTCTCATATACTTATGAAATAAAATGAATCAATCTTTTTAAACAAACTAGAAACTTTAAAAATAAATAAATATATAAGTTGAATTTATATATATATAAAAAAACTTTATTCATGTTTACTTTTATCATTTGTTTTAAATATAAAAATCTTTGCTGAAAGAGGACCAATTTTAAGAAGTGTTGATTCTGAAATGAAAAATGACATCTATTCATAATATTATTTTTTATTTACCAATCAATTAATTTTTTTATTTATTTTCACCCATATATTTCTCTTTTTTTTTGGCTTATTTCTTTTTCTACCAAACACACCTTAAAAGAGATGAATCATACAAGTATGATGGAGGTTGGCATCTACCTGTGCATATGGTATCACATTGTATATTTATATATATAAGCCTTATGATCCCTTTCATTTAAAGCAAGGAATGTCCAACGTGTATCCATCCACCCTCCAAAGATTCCAAACTTTACCTACCACTTTCCCTTCCCTTCCCCGCCTCATAAAAATTGTTCCCACCGCTAGACTTGTAAAGCTCCATTCATCAATATTTTACAATCATTGAATGATAATTACATAAATTTGTTAACAAGTACTATAATGTTGACATTATTTTTATTTCATTATATCCAAAAAATGAGAAATTAAAATCCACCGGAAAATAACCAAAAAAAAAAAAATCATAATATTTGTATCCCTAAACAAATATCTATTCCTCGAACGTCAGTTCATCCGCAGACTTATGGTGATTCACTCTCGCCAACCCCACTCCACGCGGCACGTGCGGCGGCGCGTGCAATGCCTCGACGACGGTGGCCGACGACATCTCCATCTGGCAAACCCTAACGGCGCCGACCAACCGCTCCGGCAACTCGTCCTCCGCCTGCGCCTCCACCACAAATCCCATGTCGATGGTGACCGCAGTGACGTAGCCCAACGCGAGGTGCAGAATGGCGCTCGCAATCGCACTGCTTCCGATATCGACGTCGATTTCGAGGTAATTCGAACCACTATAGTAACTGCAGTTTAACGCTTTCCCTAACAAACACGCACTGTGGTTCCCGACGGCTTTCTTCACTATCCACGGTCCCTTCACGATCCGGTTCACCAGCTTGAACCGCTGGTTCCGGAACGCGTCGTCGCCGAACACGAACCGGTTCAGGAGCGAACCGGTTCGGAGCGCTTCCGGTTCCTCCGTGGCGAAGTAGAACACCGCGCTGTGGTGCTCCCTCGCGCCGGGGATCTGGAGGTTCACCGCGAAGACGAAGCTCTTCAGCGACTTGCCTAGGGTTTGAGACTCGCGCAGCGCGTGCATCACGCGGTTGTCCGCGCGTGAGAGCGCGTGCTCGATCTTCGCGCCGGATTTCAGCCAGTCCATGCCGGCCGGCGAGAGGAGGTAGTCGCCGGCGGGGGATTTCTGCCGCTTCGTGAAGTAGTTGGCGGAGCGGAGGGAGAAGGCGTCGCCCGGCGGCGACGCCCAGCCGTTGGTGCCGGTGTGGAGGTCGACGCGGCGGAGGGAGCCGCCGTTGATTGAGTCGGAGATCCATCCCGGAGTGGCGGCGGCGGTGGGATCGGAGCTCCGGCGAGGGTTCGTCGGCGGAGACATCGGTGGTGGCTTTGTTTGCACACTGTGCAGAATTGAACTGCATTTAACGTGGAGAGAAGAGTGGTGCTTTAGCAATTAAAATTTGAAGGAGGGACCAGAAATAAAAGAGAATAATTAGAAAAAGTGCATCTAAGTTTTGTAAAATTTCGATTAGGCGCCTCACTTAAATAATAATTAATTAATTGTACAAAACTTACCTATAATTTAGGGTTATTCTTCGAGTTTTATCTCAATAATGTATAAATATATTTAATGATATTTAACGAGATCTTTATTAAATAAAAAATTTATGATAACCTTAGAAAATGTATATAAATCAAGAGGTGTGTTTTTTTTATTTTATTAAAATACTTTTTTTTTTCAAAGTGCAATTAATTTTTATGAGGCCAAAAGTTTGTTTTGATGTGTTTAATATAGTTGCATGTTGATAAACCGGAAAAGTGTTTAATTTTTCAATCAATAAAAGAAAGTTCAATTATTTAAAGACTTTTTAAAAGGTGTATGTTGGTAACTAGATAATAGAGCTTTTTAACACTAACGCAATCATGAAATTATTGTCTTTGACAACTACTAGTTTGCTAATTATTGGTTTTAAACATTATAGAAATTCGCGGATGAGTTGGAAAAGGTTTGTGTATATTATGCACAATCATCTCAACTAGTTGCAAAAATATTGGTTAGTTGGAAAAGTGCTGGTTCAACTGGCCAATAAGTTTTTTTTTTTTTAATTTATAATAACATTAATCTTTGTTAAAAAATTACATTATCAATTAATTAGAAATTATAGTATGAATAACTTTTAAAGTTACAAAATTTACTTAATAATTTGTTTTTGGATGATAAAGTAAGCTTGTTTACGTTGTAAGTACATCAATTATCTCCAGTTGCATTAATGTCCGAATTAGTTTAGAAAAAAAATAAAAAAATAAAAAAGGAAAGATGGATGTTAATGATGAAGATGGCGACACCAGTGAACCATAAAGTAGAAGACTACATGACAGGAGAATTTTGTTGATAGAGCACCTCCAGCAGGGGTGTTTATGCTGTGTCTTAAAAATAAGCAACAGTACTTAGAAATATTTGTTATTGGAGTGATTATACATGGCAAGAGAAGTTGTAATTTTTTAAGCTCCGGAGCTTCAGCAAGGAATGGTGCTTAACTCTGTTGCAATTGCCAAACTCTTCCAACTGCCAAACTGTGTTGCAACATTTCTCTCCCTCGCTCCCCGATCCACAACCTTCCAACCCTCATCTACAAGATCTCACCGAATGTGCCTCTCACGTTGGACCACGCGCCTGTCATCGCCTCCATCATGGTCGTCAGCGGAGGGAAAGGCTTGAAACAAGCCAAGAAGAGAGTCATCGCCGCCTCACCGACTTGAAAAACTTCACCGGCAGACCGTTCCGCTCCAACGTCCGCTCCTTCCTAACGAAGCACGCGCTGCTTCCGCTCCAACGTTCGCAACCGTCGCCCTCCATCATTGGCAGTGGCACCACCCACGCCACCTTCTCCACCGTCTCCGACCACAAGCTCGTCCGCCCTCCCCCCACCCCTTTCATCATTGGGACAATGATAAAGACGACGCCGTTTTCGTCGTCACTCCCCCCACCCCCTTCATCGTTGGGACGACGACAACAAAGACGACACCATTTCCGTCGTCGCTCCCCCCC